CGGGGATCAAGGCGAGCCAGTTCTGGGGGAAGGTAGTGTTTATACATGTTATAGAGCTCAACGAACTGAGTACTTACCTTACAGAACAGTCGGGGATCAAGGCGAGCCAGTTCTGGGGGAAGGTAGCGTTTATACATGTTGTACAGCTCAACGAACTGAGTACGGGATGGAAAGCCCTGCTGCATCAGATCTAACACCGAGTTCATACCTGTAACACATCATAAAACTCCTGTGTGAAAAAAGAATACCCGGGAAAAAGACTGCTTGGTCTCTTAATACCTTTGTAGCAAAAAGTCATTTTGAAATTATTGTCAATTTTTTTGTAGCTGTAAATTAAAATAGGCAGTTAAATAAGATTTCATTCGCAAACTTTTTTGGGGGATTACATTTCATTTTCATGACAGTAGTTAAAGAATAAAACATGCACTAGCTGTTACTGTGCATATTGTGTTGGAATCAAAACAACTTTAATGACTTGTAACACCCGTTACCTGAACACTCAAGCTGGCTGAGAATCTGGGCACCCTCAAACATGTGATCCACCATTTTCAAATTAGGCTTGATACATCGGATAAAGTTGGTGCCCTGTTCAACAAAACCGGCAAATGACTCAAATTAATATAAAGTTTTCCCTTGTGCTACAAACTGTAGATTTAACCTTTTTTAATTATTAGGCAATACATGTTTTTCATATTTCACAATACCATGATCTTGATTAAAGAGAGATTTTTCATTCAAGGGCTCATTAATTTTTAACAATTTTACTAATTTCAAAATTACCTATAAACACTGCTACAGAATGTCATCTTACAAACACTAAGACAGAATGTGAATTACAAGTGTAACAGAGTAAGCTGGAGACTTTACCGTAGCTTTGAGTTTCTCCATGAGGACAACAAGCTGGGAGCGGAACTTGCTGCCGACGCTGATGAAATTGAGCTTGCCTGACGAGACTTTGACACCCTCAAACATCTTTTTGAGGAGATCATTCTTACTGTCCTGTATGAGGAACTGGAGTGACGCATGCAGCGAATCATTGTTCTTCTCTATAAATTGTACCTACATCAACATACAAATGATTCAGATCAGTTATGATGGTATTACTAAGTGGTTTATGAGAAGCAGCATTACCAGTCCTGGACTGAAGGAATATTATTCTTGGTAAATAAAAAAAAACCTCACAATTCTTGCCAGACTAAGCTACCAGAGAAAAGGTATTTTCCCTACCGTGTGGTAGCAGACAGCACCAGCAAAATGGCGGATAAGGAATCCCTCCTCGTCTCTCACGTCACGATGCATTTTCAGTTTAGATTTGCGTGGCAGCTGTAACAGGAGAGAGATATAAAGTGATAAACTAGTGCTTTCAATCATGTGCTACACAGTATACTCCTACAAAACATATTTTCCACTTTCTCCAAAACATCTCCCGACACCAGGTTCTACATACTTTGATCTGGGATTACAAAACTTACACTGAGCCTGAAATGCTTCTTGTTGCGGTTGTGGACCTCCATTGTGAAGTGGTCTGGCTTGGGCAAGGGAAGTTTACTTTCCTCATCAAGTAAGTCAAATATCCCAGACACCTTCATCTCAATCAGCTCTGTAATGTACAAATTATTGTGTCAAATATGTTAACAGGATCAGCCTCTAACACTCACCAATACAATCCTTGTTATCTAGTACCTGTACAGGACCAGCCTCTAACACTCACCAATACAATCCTTGTTATCTAGTACCTGTACAGGACCAGCCTCTAACACTCACCAATACAATCCTTGTTATCTAGTACCTGTACAGGACCAGCCTCTAACACTCACCAATACAATCCTTGTTATCTAGTACCTGTACAGGACCAGCCTCTAACACTCACCAATACAATCCTTGTTATCTAGTACCTGTACAGGATCAGCCTCTAACACTCACCAATACAATCCTTGTTATCTAGTACCTGTACAGGATCAGCCTCTAACACTCACCAATACAA